AAAAAAATAAATCATAACTAAATTTATACTATTTTTAAGCTAAAATTGTTACACGAACTCTACAGCTTAAGGGATAGTATTATTTATTTTATTTATTTATTTATTTAATTTTTTATTTTGGTCGATTTACTGCCCCTTTTACAGTATAAAGTTTTTATACTAAGAGCTTTCATGGTCTATGGTTTCAGAGTGAAAAAATACAAAATCTCGTTCCATGTATAGCTTTAATAAGCTATTATGTACACTTTTCTCTAACACCTTTCCTTCTATTGTTTGTAATTTATAGGTTCTATTCCTAAATATTTCATGAATCCAATAACCATTTTGGCTCTAGCTTCCTACTTTTCAAGTATTAAGTTTTGCTTTATACTACCAAACCTTATCTCTAATAGAGTAACTACTTAAGATATATTATCTATTATGATTAATTTTCTGTTTCTCTTGTGAATGTTTAGTATTTCTTAATGCTATAGCTCTTGTTTCTTTTAAATTATCTTTAAGAGTTACTATTCTGGTAATTATCATTAATTGCACCTTTTCCTTATTTATTTCTTTATTAGGGTATATAATAATATCTAATTCAACAAGTAACCTAGCTTCTCTACTATATACTAAATAAAAAGGCTCATATTTTGTAGTGTTATATCACATTGTATAGTAAGCAAATAATGCCAGTTGAATAAATTCATTCTAATCTTCTTTATATTAGATTATACATTTGGATAATATTTCATATAAAGTTTGATTAACTTGACCATTCGTCTGAGGATAATAGGTCAATGATATCATATATTTAATCCCTAAGTCCTTACAGAGACCTTCTATTACTTTGTTATTAAAATAAGTACCTTAATTGGATATAATTTCTTTTGGACTCTCATGTCTACTAATAATTTCATTAACTAAAAATGAAGCTACTAATTCAGCCTTGCAATCAAGTAAAGCACAAACTTCAGGCCATTTAGTAAAGAATTCAGTAGCTATGATTAAGTATTTATTTTTTTATTTGGTTTGAAGTAAAAGTCCAACGAAATCAATTCCGATACGGTCAAATAATTGTGCAGGTTTTATGGGGTGTAAAGGTTTGTGCATCACAAGTCATTCTCTTTGTTGACAGATTTTATATTTCTTTATAAAGTTTTTTATCTCTGATATCATTTGTAGCCAGTAATATCATTTAGTAATTTTATCAATCATAGCTCTTTCACCCATATGTTCTCTTATAGCACTTTCGTGAACTGTATCTAGAATAATCTTTATTTCTTTTCTTTGAATTACTTATAGAGGATTTGACATTTTCCCTTTCTTTCTTCAATATAGTATTCTTTCTCGAACCCAAAAGTACCAGGCTTAAGCCTTTAATTTGCAATCTTGTACTTCATCATATTCAGGTGATAGATTTAATTCAGTGAGATATTTTACTAATGCTTGATAATCATCTTCTTCTATATCTAAATAATTACTTTTTTTATTTTTGTACCAAAACCTGGACTGGATTTTGTACTTTAGATTTTTATAAATTTTTTTTTTTTTTTTTTTTTTTTTTTTTTTTTTTTTTTTTTTTTTTTTTTACCCCCATTTTTTCATGGGCGTTTTTTTTTTTGGTTTCTTTCTGTATTTATATATATTTTTTTT